TCAGCAACGTAATGCCTGAAGGTTCTTCGTTCTAAGCATTCTATTTTATAGTCGTATACGTGTAAACCACATTCTAATTCTTACTTCACCTGTATGAATGACGAGTTGTGAGTTGTGGAGCAGTTTGGATCGGCTGAGCTTCATGATGGCTTTCATGTTTGTCGTGGATTCTTGGTTCAGTGCTTGGGTTTGCTAGCACGTCTGTCTATGGGTGTGCTGAGATTCTCGATGAGGAAATGCAGGATTGAGGTTTAAGAGCGTTTGTTGTTTGTGAGCCGGCTCGACGTTTTGTTTCGATGGACTGATGGAGAGCTGGCAGGGTTCAGATGCTGCGGGGTTGAGGGCGTCAGTTCCATCCCGGCCAGGAGCGATGCAAAGCCTCCGCCAACTTTCCACTACTCCGATGAGCATCGGAAACCGAGATGAAGGGTGCCCAGCCCACCTAACGAAAAGACCTGCGGATGTGACAGCTTCGAACTCCGAAGGACTTGCCAACGCGCTCGGTCAAACACGGCTATTCGCGACAGTACTTGCTGCAGGAATTGCAGTTTTCGTAGATGAAACAGTTGCAATTCTTGAACGATGCTTCTTCTCGGTGGTCCCTCGTCCCTAGGTAGCCAGCCAAACAAAGCTGGCGACGAGCTGAAGAGTTAGAGTGGCCGAGATAGCAGCGAACCCACATGCCCATCAATAGGCCTAGAGCTTGCAGCATGGTGCACGAAGTGTTGTGCACACATCGCAGGTATGCACCTAGATCGACAGATACATGGATAGATACAAGGAGAAGATAGCTAGTTAAATAGATCGGTTTCAGTACAGACGGACAGACAGACTGGCAGGCAGGCAGAAAGCTAGGTAGATAGGTAGCTATGGGGCCGGGTAGGCGGGTAGGCAGATAGATAGATTGATAGATAGAGACATAGAGAGAGATGCAGAGAGATACAGAGATGGGTAGACAGACAGATAGTTAGATCAACAATAGATAAGATAAGCATGTGGTTGTAAACATAGACACCAGACGCAGACAGCGACAGAGGGTCAAGGGGAGAGGGAAGAATAGGGCCTTAGAAGCAAGGGCGCTATACCTTCAGGACATTAGCCTTGGGCGACTTCCATCAGCCATTTTGGCACAAGCGCAAAAGCACGCCCCTCAAGATGACAAATGCAGCCTCCCACCACTGGCCGTCTCCTCAAGCTGACGACAGGATTGAAACTCCACGGTACACTGCGTAAGGTTGGAACATGGTTTAGGGCCAGTCTAGGGACGATGAACGCTGCGGATCTTCGTTCGTTAGCTTGTAAGCGGCATGACTTGATTGATGTCTCAGCTTCCGGTTCCACTATAGATCTTAGGGTTCCCGTGGTGGCTGTTCTGATTTCTGCGTGAAGACTAGTTGCTACCGTAAATGCCGTGTGCATTGCGGTTTTGGTTTTGCAGCATTGTCAGTGGTAGTGGCAGTGGCAAAGCAGTTGCAGCAGAAACTGCAGTTGTAGCGGAAGTGGTACTGCTGCTGCTGGTGGTGGTGGTGGGGGTGGCGGTGGGGGTGGGGGTGGCGGTGGCGGTGGCGGTGGCGGTGGCGGTGGTGGTAACTGCTTCGTCATTGTCATTTCTCGTTGTGGGTGACAATGGCAGGCACGGGCATGAGTAGGAGAAGCGTCAGCAGCAGCTGCAGCAGGCGTCGATCCCAGGAATATGCCTTGTTGCTGCTGATGCTGCTACTGGTGCTGCTGCTGCTGCTGTTGCTGCTGCTGTTGCTGCTGCTGTTGTTGCTGCCGTTGTTGCTGTGGCTTCCTCCGAATCGTCGTGGCAAAAGCGTCCTGAATATAAGCCTGGCGGTCGTGCCCATGGTGAAGATCATGCTGTCCGAGGCAAGAGAGCATGATGGTGATTCATACAGTTGTCTTGAATTCCGAATTGACCCAAACCCCTAATCCCTCCCGGATTTATTCAACAAAACCCTAAGAATAAGCACACCGTCTGGAAAAAAAACGCCTGAAATCAGAAATCATCCCCCCGTAAAGCCTAACTGGCATCAGGGGGTTCAGGAGCAACAGCAAGACAGCAAGAACAGGAGCCAGAGCAGGAGCAAGAGAAGGAGCAAGGACGATGGCAGGAGCAAGAGCAAAAACGAAAGCAAGAGACGAGCAATAGCCAGAGCAGGAACAAGACAAGACCAGGAGCACGATCCTCCTCCAAGAGTGACAGTAGAGATAAATGTACGTCCTAATCATACAAGCATTTTCCAGGCTGCCCTCGCTTCAAATTTAGGGCACGGGGATGAATCCGCTCCATCCCAAACGTTTAAGCAGTCCTTGAACCAACAACAAAGCTGCGGTAAGGTCTTTGCTGTGACTAGTGCTGGGGCCGAGATGGAGCTGTTCGAAGCCAGCGAGGCCGGCTGAAGTTCAGGGCATTAGGTGCCCCACTGCATTTTGAGTATCTACCATCCGAATCTTGGTCTACTTTGTTCGGCCTCCCTGTTGCGATCGCAGGGCTGTGGGCTTCGAGCGCAGAGTTTCTGGTCTTAGGAGGTTCTCAGAGCCACTTGAAGCTAGCCCTGACTCTAGCATGTCCATGTCTGTCCCGACACCCTCCATACCTGGCCCCACAGACCCGAAGCACCAACCGTACACCCCAAACCCATACTCCTCAATCCTGAGCTTCTGCAGGCCTAAACCCTAAACCCTTAAACTCCCTAAGCCCCTAAGCTCACCCTCAACCCTTATAGTAGCCCTTATAGTAACCCTTACAGTAGCCCTTTTAAGGAACCCCTTTAAAGGAACCCTATTTTAATTGTTAAGGCCCCTTCCTGAGCCCGGCTTTTCCCATCCTGCAGGATCCGGACAAGCTCTGTTCTTACAGCACAAAGCAGCAGGCCTGCGGGGCCCGAAGCGTGAGCTTTGGGCGTGTGGAATCATGTCCCAAGTTTAGGGCATACTATAATATACCATACTATACTATACTATACCATACTATACTATACTATACTGTACTAGACTTTACTTTTTATACTATACCTCACCGTATACTATACGATAACATACTATACGATGCAGTACTGTACTACACTATACTTTACCATACTATGCTATATTATGAACTCTTTTGCTATACGGTATCATAACCTGATGTTGTATCATACAATATAACAAGAATAATCCCACCCTTGGTTTAGGGCTTCAGGAGTTTAGGGCTTAAGGATTTAGGTGTTTAGGATTTAGGATTTTCGGGCTTAAGGGTTTAGGTGTTTAGGATTCAGGGGTTTAGGCTTTAGGGTTTGTCTTGAACGCCGTTTGGAGGTCGAAATTCGAGACAAATGGCTGGGCATAATTCAATGCACCATGCAGACTGCAATGGTCACATACATTGCCGCTTTGGCTGCACATCGGGCGCGTTCTTTTGAGATTGGCCTTGCAGGCCGGCCTGCAAGCTACTAGGCCCAGACATACCCGCAGTAGCCTTCCGCAACCCGAATTGATGTCCAAACCCTAGATGCAAAGCCCAAAACCCTAAACCGCAACAACACCGAGCCCGGCAAGACAACCCAGAAAAATTCTAATTTCGGCGGCAGACCCGGGAAGCGAATAAATCTTAAACCCTAAACGCACGAGAAGCTGAGGTTTTCGGAATCTTCATTTACAACCAGGGATACCTGGATTACGAGCCTTCACAGGCTCGGGAAATTAGGGTTTTGGGTTTGGGTGTAGGGTTAAGGGTTTTGGGTTTATTTGTTGAGCGTTTTGGACCAAAGAGGAGCTCTAAATGTGGCTGCAGCTGAAGGAGCCCTAAACTCTAAGCCTTAAACCGACATGGGCCATGGGTGTAGGGCCAGGGTTCATGGTTGAGGCTGCCTCGGACCCAACCCCCTTGGAACCAAAGCCCTGAAGATCCGAGCCTGGGGTTTCCAGATGTCTAAGACTTAGTCCTCCAATACCTTTAAAATTGTCGGGGTCTTACAGTTTAGCTGTATTCTGAAAGTTTAACCTTCTATTTCCCTGGCTTCTTGGGGAAGTAAGAAGAAGGAGTCTCATCTAGACTTGGTCCCAGCTTAGCAAATCCCCCTACATAGAGTCTCAGAGCATCTTGTAGATACATGTGTAAATTTCACGAGCCCAGCTGTTGTGGTTTTTTAGAGGTGGAATACCCGAGAAGTTGCTTCCGGCTTCCATGTCTCAGATTTCTGGGAGAGAGTCGCCTGACCTGGCCAACTGGTTACGGCTTTCAGTGGGGGATAGGCCTTAAAAAAAAACTAAATAGGCATGATGCCTCACCCCTTTCAATGGGGGTCGGCTGTAGCCTACGACAGACATAGTTTCCGATTCTCAAGCTGGGGTCATCTTGCAACGAGCTCACCCTAAACCCTAAACTCGAGACCCTAAACTCCTGAACCCCTAGACCCCTAAACCCCAAACTATAGACCCTAAACCCCTAGACCGCTAAACCCTAAACCCTTTTCTCTACAGGCCCTAAGCCCTGGTCCTGTCCGACACTAGCAGAACGCGAATTTCTTTCGAGCGAGCAACAGCAGACCGGGGTTGAAGGAGTCTTGCCGGCTTCTGTAATGTAGGGGATACCATTTTTAGGGGGTTCCCTAGCAGAAGTATAGCATTACTATAATATACCCCCAAGCCCTATTCTAATTATCAAGGCCCCCTATTGTATTTGGGCTGCATGGCCCGAGGATCTGGGGACGCTGGAAGGGTTCTCCCGGGTTGCAGTTCAGGTTCGAGCAGGTTCGCTGGAGAAGATTCTCATCCGTTAAAGCTGCCAGGGCGGTTGCTAGTGCTGTTGCTACTTCTACTACGGCTAGTAAGCCTGGAAACCCCGAGGCCTAACCGCAAAACCTCGAACATCGCCGTAAGCTTACTACGGCTATTTCCGGCATGAAAATTCTGTGGTGGTTCTCGGGTGGTTGCATGCATAAAGATGCTGTTATGCCTTTGCACCCGCCTCACCTGTTGTTTCAACCCGCTGGAACGGCAGGGTGCCATCTCGACGCATGTGCACGGCAACTTTGTGGCTGTCAGCAGCGGCAAGCCCAAAACCCGTGGCTTGGGCACGTGCTGCGGTTTTGAGAGGTACAGTAGGGTTCAGGGTTTATAGATGGAAAATTGAGTCAATTACCTACTTTAGCTTGTTTCGAGACAGGCCCCACTTCTGGAACACCGCTCTTTGTGTGGCAGTGAGAATCGTGCTGATGCCCCGGTTTTCATGACTTGTGCCAGACCAAAAGGCAGCTTCGCGCTTAGAGTGATATGGAAGCCGAAATAATTACCAGTATTATTCCTTAGGGTTCCTTAGTAGAATTATGCTGTAAACAGGCCCAAAACCCGATTCTGATTATGCAGGCCTCTGGATTAGAGTAGGACATAAAGCTACCATCTGCCCTGAACCTTGAGCTCCTTCTGTCTGAGCTCCTTCGAGCCAGACTCAGCTGAGGCTACTTCACTGCAGAAGAGATCACATATCCCGGCCTCGATGCTTGGTTTAGGGTTTAGCCCGGAGCAGGCCGATGTCCGCAAGCGCAGCATGGAGTGGTTCAGGTTTGAGGCGTCATCAGATGCAACGAACCAGGGAGCATGCGCAAGAACGCTTGGAAGTTCAACGCCCCTTTGCCCGAGTCTTGCTAGATTCGAACACGAGACCTGTCTGTAGAGTTTACAAAAGCATCGGGGCGATGCTGCTTACTGCTTTGCAAGCTGCGAGCCGGAGTAATCGGCCTTTTCGCGAAGATCCACCCATGAGGGCAGTTTTCTATATTCGGGTCCCTTCTAGGGTCCTTTTTGTAAGGTGACGTACTATACTGGGGACGTAGAAGGGACCCGAATTTAGAGAACTGCCCATGTGAGCCTAAGGAAAACGGGAATCTCTTTGTCGCCACACGGCTTGACATCAGCCACCAACAGCGGGGAGTCTGTGAAGACAAGCAGCTCCAATGCGAGACGGATGCAGATTGTCACGCGCAGGCTGGATGTTCAGATAGAATACATAAGGAATTCATATTTCAATTGCAGAAGCCTATCACTTCTGGCACGCAGCTTGATGGTGTGCACGGCCAACTTTACAATAGGGTTCGAAGGAGTCACACTTGCCTCGCACTCCTCGGGTGTGATTACTCATGGCCGCATGACGATGCAATCACCCTGCGGATTTCTTATTACAGTTACTACAGCCCTGTTCTCATCATGGATCAAGGCCCCAACATCAAGTATTTAGGTCCCTTATCTGCACGGGAAGGGGAGTGAGAACTCCAAACTTGCAACCGGCTCGGGATTCATGAGCTTAAGATTTGGGCTTCTCTTTGGTTCGCCTTGCTGGACTCATGGACTCAACGATTTAGGGTTTAGGGTCATGGATCAAGTGTCCTGAAGGCCCCCCTCCCCGAAGCGGTTTCTGGAGGTGGACGGAAAGTGCTCCGAAAAAGGCTTCTGCATTGAGCCGTCCTGGTGCCCTATGGAGGAGCAAGATGTCACTTGGCAAAGCCATTCTCGAACCTCCAGGCTTTTCGGGAATAGTATAGAAGCCTAAATAAATACCTGAACTATTTTGGGGGTTCCTTATTACAATTTTGGTAGAATATACCCCAAAACTCTATTCTCATTATCAAGGCCCCTACAATAGGCACCAGGGAACCCTCACCACGCAAGCCGAAGTAGACCCAGATCCAACCGCACCATGTAGTGGCTCGGAGCTGTCACCAGAATGTAAGGAGAGTTTTCTCGCTGGAGTTGGGGTGGGGGACGTGGGGGGGGGCCTCTGTTTCTTGTGTTGATTGGTTAAATATTGAAAGATGCTCTCGTACGTCACCATGGCGACGACGAAGATGCCGACGACGACTACCGCTACCGCCATCG